ACCTTCCATATGCTCACTTCCTTAACAGAAAGTGCTGTGTTTTATCCAAAAGAGAAAACTATAACTGCAGGTGGAGGAGGGGACCCTGACTGTGTTCTTGAAAGTAATTTCACATTCCCAGAAGAAAATACCAAACAAGTCAGGGCTTCAGAAACATATCCTCTGGACTGTCACGATTAGGCAGTATTTGCTACACAGCAGGAGCTGTTAAATATTTGTAGAATGGATGACCTCTAAGGTCTCTCCCAATATAGGTTTCTGTAATCCTATAAATAACTGAGAACCAAGGGCAGCAGAGCCATCCACAGCACCTGGGAGAAACACCTGCTCCAGGCAAGTCTTGTCTGCAGGCGCAGGCGATTTCTCACAAGGATGGCAGTGATGAACGCGGTCTGCAGAGTGCCAACAGCACAATGAAATCAAGTGCTGGGATGGTTCCATTAACAAATGCTCCGGAAATGGAGTTCCTTTAGAGTGGAGCTGGCTGTTCTGCCCGAATTTCGCCATAAATCTTACGGCTGTTGGTGTGCAGCTGTTGGTAATGCGATGGCTCACATCAGTGCTTTGGGAAGCTGGGAGCTGGGAGATGCCTTCAGGTGGCTCCCATCTGTCCATGCACAGGGCTGACCTTGGGTGACGTCCTGAGGTTTTGGTTCTGGTTCCCTCTTGGCAGCAGTGACCCTACCCCTGCCCACTGTCCTTCTGTTGACACATACACCTGCTGCAGGCCTGGAGAGCACGTGGCCAGGCCTGACTTCATTACCCACTCATTCTCCCACCCACTTCTATGGTGCTGCCCACTCTAGCTTAGTGCTGGGACTCCAAAACAAGCCAGGCCTGGTCCCCAGTCCTCAAAGAGCACAATCTCCTGGTAGCCCCACACACAGAAACGGGTCCACATAACCCCCTAGAGTTCTGGCAATGCTGAGGCGATGCACCACAGCATTCCCACTGCTCATGTCTCTAGCAGCAGCTGGGACTGACACGTGAAACATTTCCCCCGAGAAGAAGGAAGCACCTTAGTGTTTCATGAAGAATGAAGAATAGGTCTGAGCAGAGATTTTCCCTATGATGAGCAGCACCAACTGCTCTTAGGGGAAGGGGAGCTTCCCATGCCTTCTTCCCCAAGTAGAGCACGACAAACGCTTGAACAGGGCAGAGAAGCTTCCTGTGCCCTGGTGTGGAATGAAAGCTGCTAAAGCTGCTGGCTGCACTTCCTCCTTCCTGGGGAGCCTGTGCTCTGCGGGCTGCCCACGGCTGACTCAGTGGCTGAGTCTGCCTTTGCTCACAACCACCTCCAAGCACACACCACACCCTTCCACACCAGCTTGTTACTGAAGCCTGTCGACTCCTTCATTTGGGAGGGGCAGAGCAGGCTTGCCCTTCCAGCCCACAAGAGCCTCCTGCCTTGGGAGGGACTCAGAAGCACCAAGCAGAGGCTCGAGGTGATGGACCTGACGTGCCCAGGTCAACAGAGAGGCAGGACCCGAGCCCTAGACTGCCCAAGGTCAAAGGTGCAGCCCATGGGCCAAGACACAGCCCCAAAGGCTAAAAGCATCTGACCATCTGTCATCTCAGTTCGGATGAACATTTGGGACTGAGGGCCTAAGACAAAGTGGGGTTGTCCCAATATGGTGGAAAACAATGAGGGGGAAGCCAAGGGCGGGGCTGCGGGTGGGCAAGGGCAATAGACAGGAGGCCTGTAAGGGGAGGTATTGGCATCAGCCCAGCATATGGCGCCCTCTTCCCCCAGAAAGGAAGGAGAGCCATCTGGATTATTCAGGCAGGGTGGAAGCTGGGGCTGGGGGATTAGGAACTCAGCCATGGGGAGGGAGGGGGAAGGTGTAGAAGACCAGACAGTGGCAAAAGCTGCTACCACCCTGAGGAAATCACCATCCTGGGGTCCTTCTCCATGCCCCACCCGACCTGTGGAGCAGTCGGAGGCACAGGATCTGTTGGTTTTACCCATTGTTGCCCACCAGCTTGAGGAAACGTCCAGCAGGGCTGAGGCAGTATTGGGACCACTGTCCGCTGTTCTGTGCTCCAGTTCTCGGGGCAGGAAATTTGCCCCCACACTTGGCCCCAAGTGCCAGTCACAGTAATTAAATGATTGAGGCCCATCCCTACCTCCCCACTCCCCGTGGGCCTTCTGCTCCCTCACAGGAAACCCCCTTTGCAGGACAAGGCCCTGCCACAGTTCTGGTGCCACACTGGTAAGGCAGGAACTCTGGGTGGGCTGCAGGAACACCAGGTGGCTGGCGCCATAGGAGGGGTGGCCTGAGATTCGTGGGCTCCATCTCTGAATTTCTGGCCTGGGTTTCCAACTCCCTTGTAAGTGACTCCATAACTTGATGGACACCCCCACACTGAGCCTGAATTAGCTCTATTCTGTAGCTAGGGGTTAGCCCACCCTCCTACACTCATCCGATTTCTTATAGCTGGCTCATTTGGCTTGGACCCCACCACACTGTCACAGCCTTCAGGAACTGCAGAGCCATACAACACAGTAGCTGACACTTTGACAAATTACTAAAAGCCCAGCTAATAGGAGTAAAGCACTTTCTCTAAGAAAGTTGTTTTATCTATGTTTAAGCCCAATATATCCTTGGATAATTCAAATGACAAAAGTGCAAACCCATCTCAAGGATGGCAGACGAACTGACAGAATCTACAGATAAAAGACAGCAGGTCAGCCTTATTCACCACCCCTATCAGAACATCAGTGTGGTATCACCATGTCTCCCAGAAGAGAAAAGATAATGAAGGCACCTTTCAGATATGCACTCGTCACCTACTACGTGCCAGGCTTTCACACTTCCTTAACACCCACCAGAGCCCCCGCCACACCTTATCTTCCTGCTTGCTTAGATGAAAAACCAGTTCCTGCGCCTCTTTCGACATGTTTGCCAGACCAGCTATTGCAATCTGAACACGGAAGGAGACAAAACAACGGCCTGTATGATGCCATGTCAGGACCTGCTCCACCAGCCAGGGGGAAGCCTGCTCCAACCCAAAGAGCTGGGAGCCGGTGTGCCAAGAAATGGGCATAAGCACCAGCCTCCAAGCCTCACCGGAAGTGTGAACTCGGCCAGGTCACTGCTTCTGTGACCTCAGCTATAACGTGAGGACTTCTGGGCTCCCCTCCTGAGGAGGAGGAAGGGTTGTGGCAACCGGAAGGAAGAGAAAGAGGATCAGGGGGCCAAGGTGACTTTATCTGCAGTCTCCATGGCACGGAGAGCACAGAGGTGGTACTTAGAGAACATGGCTGAAGGGAGAATTTTGCCTTAAAACAGGGAGCCTCCTCAAGAGATCCGGAAGCACCAGCAGGCTCTCATGCCTTTCCTGGGGGATCTTGCAATGGAGAGTTCTCGCATCTTCTGCTCTGTGGTTGTGGGGCTGTGGAGGGAAAAGCCTATAACCAGGGCCCATCCTACTTCCTGGCCCCCAATTCCCCTGCTTCCAACTGCCTAGGAAGGCTGACCTAGAGGCAGACAGCAGCAGAGACTGTGGGTGGGAGAGCAGGTAGCCAGTCAAAAGACTACGGGAGAAGTCCAAGCAAGACTGTACCAGGACAAGGGTTATGGCCCTGAAACAAAACATCAGGCATAAATGTGAGACACCTCGGAGGCAGATTCATTTGACCAACGAAAAACAGAACGACTCTGTGCTTTTCTGTATTCCTTTTTTTTAGCCCAAGTGATTGGGCAATGAAAATGGAGAGGTGGTTTAGAGGGCAAATAGGCAATTCAGCTTCAGATACATTGAGTTTTAGGTGACAGCAGATAATCCATGTAAAAACGTCCAACAGGATGAACACAGATTAAAGACAGAAAAGAAATTATACAGCATTGTCTACTTTTTTTTCTTTTGTAAACCTAGTGATACTTCTATTGATATCCCTTCTTTATTCTGCTCCCATAATAATGTGGCAAAAATATCGAGGAAAACAGCAGAAAAATGAAAGTACCAGGAAAAAAATTATTTCAGGAAATACTCCAAAGCCATTTAATAAAATTTGACTCCTGTGTCTAATAACACCAAAACTAGACTAGATAGAATACCCATTGCTGGCAAGGGTATAATAAACTGGCATTCTCTTTTTTTGTGTGTGTGTGAGGAAGATCAGCCCTGAGCTAACATCCATGCCAA